CATAGCATTAAAGCTCTCACACGGGTTCAGAGCTTCACAAAAATAAAATATTATATCAAATTAATTCTAGATATCTTTGTGACCGTCCTACAACAGCTGGGTGATTAGACTCGCACCTCTCGTAAGGTTCTGTAAGGGATTCAATCCTAGGAAGGAGGTTCAACCCTTCAGTATTTACAAAGTAAGACACACAGTATTTACAAAGTAAGACACACAGCATTTACAAAGTAAGACACACAGCATTTACAAAGTAAGACACACAGCATTTACAAAGTCACGCAGTATTTACAAAGTAAGACACACAGCATTTACAAAGTAAGACACACAGTATTTACAAAGTAAGACACACAGTATTTACAAAGTAAGACACACAGTATTTACAAAGTAAGACACACAGTATTTACAAAGACACACAGCATTTACAAAGTAAGACACAGAGTATTTACAAATAAAGTAAGTCTGAACATCTTACAATCATAATCATTTACGTGTGTTTGTAATACGTTAGTAAGTTCGTTTTATGAAGGTTATTTCTGGTAAAAATCTTGTTCCCAGCTTTGAAAAATTTCGCTCAGAGGCTTATGTAGTATTTATCCATCCAGGTCCTGATCACAGCAGGAAAAATAGGAAAATACATTCTACAGTAAACTTTTATAGGGTCAACGTTTCGCTCTGTATAGAGTTTTATGAGGAAAACGTTGTCTCTATGAAAACTTCTGTAATGTGTGTAAGAAGGTCATTAGCCCTTGAATATTATTACTGATACGTTTGTCATGCGCCTTATATGCCGAAAAATACGGTATATTAGCATGGTGGGTTTTTAAAAGCAAATTTACTCAGCAGTGGTAATTTAGGATAACAACCCTAGGATTAGCGAAAATTTAGCAGGGTAATTGAAAGATTCCTAGGGAGAGAGAGGGAAGAGAGAGAGAGGAGAGAATGAGAGGAGAGAGAGGGGAGGAGAGAGAGAGAGAGAGAGAGAGGGGAGAGAGAGAGAGAGAGAGAGACAGAGAGAGAGAGAGGAGAGGGGAGAGAGAGGAGAGAGAGAGAGAGATGGGGGAGAGAAGGAGAGAGAGTGAGAGAGAGAGAGAGAGAGAGAGAGAGAGAGAAGAGAGAGGAGATAGAGAGAGGAGAGAGAGAGAGAGAGAGAGGAGAGGAGAGGGGAGAGAGAGAGAGAGAAGAGAGAGAGAGAGAGAGAGAGAGACAGAGAGAGAGAGAGAGAGAGAAGAGACAGAGAGAGAGAGAGAGGAAAAAGAGGGGAAAAGAGAGAGAGAGAGAGAGAGAGAAAAAGGAGAGAGAGAGAGGAGAGAGAGAGAGGAGAGAGAGAGAGGAGAAGGGGAGAGGAGAGAGAGAGAGAAGACAGACAGAGAAGAGAGAGAGAGAGAAGAGAAAAGAGAGAGAGAGAGAGAGAGAGAGAGAGACAGAGAGGAGAGAGAGAGAGAGAGAGAGAGAGAGAGAGAGAGAGAGAGAGAGAGAGAGAGAGAGGAGACAGAGACAGAGAGAGAGAGAGAGAGAGAGAGAGAGGGGGAGAGAGAGAGAGAGAGAGGGGAGACAGAGAGGAGAGAGAGAGAGAGGAGATAGACAGACGACACGTCTGCCCTGAACCTTTCTTCGAACCCCCATTCATTTGAGTTTCATTTATTCCTAGAATGACTCAAGTTTGGAAAATGTTCGTACAGCATAATGACATCAACGAAATAAAATCAGTTGACCAAATGAAATTGCTGGCCCACAGATGGCTCCAACTTCACCCTGCTCTCTGTCCACATGTCTCATAACAATTAAAAGTCTTTCAAATGTGCTGATGTAGGTAACAGTTCTTAGCTTGTAAATAAGGTTAAGAACCTTAACCTAACCTTGTAAAACCTTGTGTAAAAGAGAGAGAGAGAGAGAGAGAGAGAGGAGAGAGATGGGATAATCACAGTGTCAGAGTGATCGGCTGATCAGACTGCTGGGTCATGGCCTCCTCACATCATTACCCAATCACCACCGCCCGCAGTCCCTTCATCTCCTAATCCAGTCATGCACCTACTCCTCCGCGCCCCCCTCCCTTTAAATTTATCCACGCCCACACGCCCACACACACACACACACACACACACACACACACACACACACACACACACCCCACACACACACACACACACACACACACACACACACAACACACACACAGCCTAGACTATTACGCACTATTACACAGGATTATCACTCGTTCCATCATTTGATTTTCACTCAAGAGTTGCACTCTTGATAACTCTGGTAGTTATCAACAATTAAAGAGAAGTGTGTATATAAACATTGAAAGTGTGTATGTAAACATTGAAAGTGTGTATATAAACACTGAAAATTTGTGTATAAACATTACAGGTGTGCTTATCAACACTGTGTATATAAAAATTAAAAGAGAAGCGTGTTAAAGAAAACATCAATGATGGTAGTGAAAGAGAGAGTGAGAGAGAGAGAGAGAGAGAGATGAAGAGAGAAGAGAGAGAGGAGAGGGGAGAGAGTAGAGAGAGGAGAGAGAGAGAGGGGAGAGAGAAGAGAAGAGAGAAGGAGACACGGTGTTCCCGGTGTTCATAAAGTAACTATGGAATTATCTTACGATGAAGAGTGGTGAAAATTGTCCAGGTGACTTGTTCAGTTATTCCCATTCTCATTCTCTCTCACCTATATATACACTTTAACTTCAGAGTTCGTGAGCTTTGCGTAATTATGATAGTGTGTGTGGTGTGTGTGTGTGTGTGTGTGTGTGTGTGTGTGTGTGTGTGTGTGTGTGTGTGTGTGTGTGTGTGTGTGTGTGTGTTTTTACGAGATTTCAATGTGTTTACACAACGAGTGTTAATAATACCATACACCAGAGTGACAGTGTTTTGTTACTATACCAGAGTTAATGTAGAGTGTGCCATCGG